TCTCACCATCTCGCCATATCATTGTCGATCTACAGACCAAAAGCATGGCATAGTTAGTAACAACAACTTTTTGGATTTATTAGTGTTGAGTTTTTTAATAATTCAAGTTTGGTAGAACATACCTTGATATGTAACAAAGTGATTTATGCTTTGGCATGTAACATTAGTATGAAGAAGGAAGCTTTGGCGTGTAATATTTGGTGCTAAAGCTTTGGCCTTGACGTGTAATATCTATTGCTGAAGCTTTGACCTTGATATGTAACATTTGCTACTAAAGTTTTGATGTGTAGCATCTTCTACTGAAGTGTGCAACATCTGCATAGGTTTGTAGTGTAGTTTTATTTTTCTTTTCTAGTTATAAACATAACATGTAATATGTTCCTTTATATTTCACTACAATATAAACTCTTGGAGTTAAAACATGTAATAATTTTTTTTAACAAAACATGTAACAAAAAAATTTTTTAAACGTTGTGTGTAACTTATTCTCTATTTTTGTATTTTACTAGGATATAAACTCTTTGAGTTAAAACACTTTCACAATAGAGATCAAGTTTAAAATCAAAAAGAAATTTGACATGAAAATGAAGATATATTGAAAAAAAGGTTCATTTTAAAAATACCCCTTATATAATGTGTTTTTAAAAATAAGTTTCTTTATCATTTTAATTATTTTTAGTCAAGAAAAATTAATTTTAGATAAAATTACTTTTAATGAAAATGACTCATATATTTAAATCCATGCACCAAACCGACTCATATCATTTGACCTTTCCTCACCAGACCATTCATCTCTAAAGTATTCCTTATCAAAAAAAAAAAACTTTTAAGCATTTTGAGCATTTTGGAATGGTTTTAGATACATGAAGAAAAACCGTTGAGTGCTTTGAGCATTTTAAGTATTTTGGAGTGGTTTTTGATACGTGAAGAAAAATCTTTAAGCATTTTGAGCATTCTTTTCCAAGTAGACATATTCGTTAATTGTATTATTAAATGGAATATGGTGTGTTGTTTGAAGTTGTTGATTTTATTAAATAGAATTCAGTAGTTTTAGTAGTTTTTTAAGTATGTCATAACCGATTTTTGGACATTGTGTAACTAATTTTTAAATATTATGTGACTGATTTTTAAGCATTACATGACTAATTTTTAGATATTGCATAATTGATTGGTATAACATTATGTGACTAGTTGCTAGGCACTGCGTGACTAGTTAGTAAGACATTGTGTGACTAGTTAATAAGGCATTGCGTGATTAGTTTTTTAGCACTGTGTGACTTAGGCATTAATCAGTCACGTAATACGCATAACCTAGTCACGTAATGCCTAAAAACCAGAGACGCAACGATTAAGTCACACAATGCCTAAAAATCAATCTCACAATACTTAAAAATCAGTAACAATATCTAAAAACTAGTAATGCAATACCTAATAACTAATTGATTTGCTTGCTCGTAGCTAGGTTTAAGTTGTCTAAGTCATACAGTGATCTAATATACAGATATGGTTAATCAATTTCAATCTTTCAACTTTGACGTTTTATAAATATAAACCAAGAAGCCCAAGAACTTAAAACGCATTCATTGATGTCATCTTTGCTTTTTGGGATAGTGAGAAAGGGCTGGATGGTAAGACGACAGTATTTGACAAGAGAGAGAAATTAAGATTTAATTTTAAAATTTTTATCTGGATGGCGGGATAGAGAAAACCGAAATCATTTTAATTTGTCTGAAATTGTTTAAAGGGCACTATTATCAAGTTATGTCAAAATTTGGTTAAAAATAGTTAAAATTATAATGAATAATATTTTTTAATTGAGCTTATGAGGAAAATTATCTCTCATAATTTCTCATTGAAAAATTATTCAACGTCAACGTTACTATTGGATGAAATGGATTTGGACAAAAAGATATTATCCAAAATCCTCTAATTTGGATAATTAGCATTTGAGTTATTTTATTTTTTACATTTCCTATAATAATAATAATAAAAATAAAGTATAATAAATGTTTTTTTCAACATAACATGCAATAATATTTTTTTCAACATATGAACTGGAATATGAAGATGTTTTATTACAGGCAATTTTGTCCAAAAATCTTTTTTCTTGATTGAAATCAATTAAAATTTAAAAAAAATATTTTTTAAAACACTTTACCTTTTATGGTTAAAAAAATGGTGCCTTCTGTTTAATGAAGATTGCTACCATTTTGTTAGGCAATACAAGGAAATTCAAGGTAATTGTTCAACGTCTATATTTGTGATCATAATTACAAGAATCTCCATCAAAAATGAAAAATACAAGAATCAGAAACGGAACAAATGCGTTCTACTATCAGAACAATGAATAGCAAATACACATTGCAATATTTTAAAAGACAAAAGAATCATCGTAAAACAGAGAAGTAAACATGATTATTAGTAAGATTGATGTTCTTCAATTTTGGGATATTCTTGGGTTGGTGATCTTAAACCCCTCGATGACGGTGATGCCTCGACGCCTTGTGGTAAATCAGAGATAGCAGCCAACATACGGCGAATGCTAACAGAACGAGCAGGTTTGAAGCTTAATGATCTCACCTTGTTCTTGGCAAAAATATCAGATGACTTAGAAAGGATGAGATAAACCAATGCTTGAACAACCACAAACATGCCCACCTTCGTTAATAAGGAATCTCCCAAGAACATCTGCAGCTCCATTTGTACGAAAATTGACACAACTCTGGGAAGAGTTACAAAGTATGGCTTGCAAGCTTTTGTGAAGTTGGAAGAGAGAATTTCAGGAAATGTGCAGGAGCAATGCTTAGCTAGGGAAGCTTGTTATATAGAGAGGGAGATTGGAAAACTTGGACCATGAAACAGTCACTTTGACTTGTAGCCGAAGTCTGGAACTTATATATTGACCACACGCAAATTGATTGGAAAAGAAGCCATAAATAATTGAGCATGGCATGACAAGGACTGCGGTTTCTTGGAAGGGAAAACTATTGACAGCAACTGGAAAGGCCATCTGGCATCAGGCAGACTAGAGATAAGCCATATAAAAATGCAAAACGTTTTACATATGGACTCCAAAGCTGACCACTAGAAGTGCAAGGTGCTTATTCCTAATCAACCCTGTCATGGATTCTCACCTTCTCTCTTCTCCATCCAATTATATAATATCATGTGATCAGGTCATCCTTATTTCTAATCTCTCTTTTTTTAAAAAAAAAAATCTTGCATTTAACTATCCATCCATCTCTCTATCCATGTATGTCTACTTTGTATGCAAAAATTTTAAATTTTCTCACTATCTTTATAAATTAAGTGTCTAGTGAAAAGAAAAATTAAATTCAAGAATCTGGCATTCAACTTTTTGATTGATACATAATCCCTATTTAAAAAATAAAATTTGAATTCCCTTTCTCAATTTAAAAAAAAAATTGAATTCAAGTAAAAAAAACTCATGTGCTTATTATTGAGCAAAATACTCAAGTGTGAAACACTGATTTGTAACTTACAAAATGATACTTGAAGAGATTAATTTTAAAAACTTAATTCCTAGATTTGATATGAAATATGGAAAACATTAGCTCGGGTTATAAAAAGCAAGCGATTAATAAATGGGGTTAATTACGCATTTAGTATTTAATTATGGTTAAATGTTCAATTTGGTACTTGAAGAATAAAAATGCAGAATTATGCAAATTGCACACCTTGCCAACTCATTAAAAGAATAAAAAATTTGGGGGGAGAAAGGAAAGAGAGGAAAGGAAGAGGAAGAGAAAGAGAAAGGATAGAAAGGGCAGGGCTGACCAAATCAAGGCCAACCAAACCCCCTCTTTTCTCTCTATTTCTTTGCCTTTTCCCTCTCTCTCCCCAATTTACCTCCCTTTTAGAAACAACAACAACAGAGCTAGTAAAATATGCTATCTGATAATCAAATTTGAAGTATTTAATTGTGCATTTTAGTTGTTAGGTGCCAAATCAAATGTTTAATTACAATTTCGTACCAAATATGTAGTCAACTTTAATGAGTAAAAAAAATCTATTTATTTGTGTCTTCATCAAAACATATGTGGAACTCTAGTGGCTTGACCAACCTTGGAAATGGTCATGAGGAAAGCAAAGTGAGCCCTGATAATAAAGCAAAGTAATAGGACACATTAAAGATAAAGCCTGTGGTAGGCTGAGTTGGCATTGATGATGCATGCTCCATGGCTTTGCTTCCACGGCCTTGACAATTTTAAGTTGAAAAAGTGGGCAGGAAAGGAAGTGATTGTTTCCGGGTCAAATTAGGCAACCAGGAATAAATCATGCAATAGTACTACTTATTGTAAAGCTTCACCCAAATATGGCTTTGTTTATGGTATGGCGTATGCCGTTGTGGAATTCCAGCAAGACTCCCATTAGGCTTTCCCTCCATTTGCTAGAAAATTGGCATGTGCCTTACCAGCAGATAATTTAATCACCTTTCCATGTTTTTATGGTCCTCTCGCAAGTCATAATCTGTAAAATTTTTTATTATATTTTGTTTTTTCTTTTTTATATATAGTAAGCTTGTCCTGGAAACAACAGTGAACTATTCCCAAGAAGTACAAGATCAAGAATGATGGTATCATGAGGAAATACTACTGGCTTCATGCCTGCAAGTTTCAATGTCCAACAGCAATCTTAACAATTTAATCCGTCATCAGTGTTTAAGGAGGGCGAGGAAACAAGAAATGGCAATGTTGAGGTATAGACATGAGAGAACAAAATTAATTACCACAATTAATTATCCATAAGTAAAAGAGAAACTGCATTTTTCTTCTACTAATTACCTCAAAAGTAACACATAATGAATGCCTTTGATATAACAATTAGAAAATTGTACTGCATCAGCAATTTATTTAGACTGCAAATACTCATGGGACAAAATGGAGTCTCTCTCAGCCCAGCCCTTACTCACCCACTGGATGCTTCGAGCCCATCCTCCGGGGGGGATATTCATGCATTATTGGATATTCCGGATCATCCCATTCTGTAAGAACAACTCAAAACAGAAGGGTCAAAGCATTCGGATTGATGAAATATCGCTTTCACATTGGTAAAGTAGACTAGATCACCGCTAACTTCTGACTATAGAAGCCAACTCGTGTTCACATATATTGCAATGCAAACGGAATAAACACTAAAAAGTCAATGGGAGAAATTGATGGAAGTTCTTGGAATTTTCCTTCACAAATGCAACGAAAAGGTGAAGAGAATAAACTCCAAGGGGTTGTTGATACAGACCCTTTCTTCATAAATTAAGTTGCAAAATCATGCAAGGACTCAATTCTAACATCTTATTCAGCTGAGTGAAAGAAACATTCAGAAAACAAATTATGGCTGATACTGCTGTCAGCTTAGCAATCGACAAGCTAATTGTTCTGCTCACGCAAGAGGTAAACCTTTTAACCGGTGTCCACAGAGAAGTTGCAGAACTCAAAGACGAGCTGGAGAGTATTAGATCTTTTCTAAAAGATGCAGATTCCAGGTTGGAGAAAGAGAGTGTCAGCAGCAGTGTCAAGACATGGGTGAAACAGGTAAGACAAGCAGCTTATCGTATAGAAGATGTCATGGATGAGTACATGCTTCGCGTGGCAAAACATCGTGACCAACGCGGTTTCAAGGCTTTCCTCAATACGATGGTTTGCTTGGTGAAGACTGTTAGACCTCGTCATGAAATAGCCTCGGAGATTCAAGATATTAAAAGATCAATCCGTGAGATCAAGGAGAGAAGTCAAAGATATAGTTTCAGTTCCTTGGAGCTAGGGGGAATCAAGTTCTAATGCTGAGAATAACCATACCTGGAATGATCCTCGAGTTGGCTCCCTCTTTCTTAAGGAAGATGAACTTGTGGGAATTGAACCTGTGGAAAATGAACTCGTGAGCAAATTGGTAGATGGGGCATCGCAGCGCACTGTGGTTTCAGTGGTGGGTATGGGGGGAGTAGGAAAAACCACTCTTGTCAAAAAAGTTTATGACAACCAAGTTGTCATCGGACACTTTGATTGTCATGTTTGGATCACAGTGTCTCAATCATACAAATTAGATGAGGTACTTCGAAGCATGATAAAGCAGTTCGCCGGAGAAAGAAATGAGCACGTTCCTCATGGAATTGACACCATGCATCAGGGGTCCTTGATCAATAAATTCAGAGAGTGCTTATCAAAGAAGAGATACTTGGTTGTGTTTGATGATGAGTGGAAAATTGACTTTTGGGGAGATGTGGAACACGCTTTACTCGATAACAATAAAAGTAGCAGAGTTATGATCACAAGCAAGATTAAGGATGTTGCTGAGTTTTGCAAGAGATCTTCACTTTTATACGTCCATCAACTAGATCCTCTACCTATAAAGGAGGCACAGAAGCTCCTATGCAGAAAGGCATTTCAATTTGACGTGGAAAAACAATGTTCTCCAACATTGGAGAAATTGTCCTTTGAAATCGTTAAACGATGTAAAGGCTTGCCACTTGCAGTTGTGGCCATTGGAGGACTTTTGTCAACCAGAGGTAAGGATTTGTCTCAATGGCAAAACTTGCTGGATAGTCTCACTGCAGAGTTACACTGCAATCCTCACCTCATCAATATCAAAAGAATTCTTTCTTTCAGTTACCTTGAACTTCCTTCCCACCTTAAACCTTGTTTCTTGTACCTTGGCATGTTTAGAGAAGATTGCCCTATTAACTGCTCCAAACTAGTTCGGCTTTGGATGGCAGAAGGGTTTGTGAAAGAAAAGCATGGCATCACCCTGGAAAAGGTTGCAGAGGGATACTTAACGGAGCTTATTCGTAGAAATTTGGTTCAAGTGGTAGGACATTTCTTTGATGGCAAAGCTAGATATTGTGGAGTTCATGATTTGGTACGTGAGGTCATTCTTTCCAGATCAGAGGAGTTGAATTTGAGATTGGCATCAGTGGAAAACTGCACGAGTCACGATGGAACAGCCCGTCATCTATCTATCTGCGATGAGGCAGGCCATGTTTCAGAGATAACTAGTAACGCTCAAACTCGTTCTATAATCTTTTACAGGGTGGATAAATTGCCAAATCCTTTATTCAATACCTTTTTCGCAAATTTGAAGCTTTTAAGAGTTTTGGATTTTGAAGGAAGCCTTTTGCAGTACCTACCAAAAGAATTGGGAAATCTACTAAATTTAAGATATTTATGTCTTAGAGATACTAGAATAAAGATGCTTCCAAAGTCTATAGGGAAGTTGCAGAACTTAGAGACATTGGATTTAAAGCGTTCCCTTGTGCATGAACTACCAGATGAGATCAATAGGCTTCACAGGTTGCAATACCTTTTGGCGTTCTCTGTTAATTATGATGGTGAATTAAGCGTTGACACTCCACGAGGGGTGAAAATACAAAATGGAATCAGGTGCTTGAATGGTTTGCAGAAGCTTAGTTCATTGGATGTGGAGCACAGCAAGGTAGCCATTAAGGAGTTGGGGAGGTTGAAGCAGTTGAGGAAATTAGGGATCAATAAACTGAAAGCAGAAGATGGGAAAATTCTATGTGCTGCATTAAAGGAAATATGCTACCTTCAGTCGCTAAGTATCTCCTCAGTGAACGAGGTAGAACCTCTTGAACTGCACTCACTATCTTCCCCTCCTCCATTCATTCAACGCCTCTTGTTAAAGGGGAATTGGAAAAGCTGCCTCATTGTATCTCCAAACTAAAGAGTCTTTCTAGAGTTTGTCTGTTTTGGTCAAAGCTATCAGAAGATCCACTGAAGGTCCTTGAACTTCTCCCCAATTTGCTTGACCTTTGGCTTTATGGGGGATATGATGGTGACCAACTACATTTTAAGGAGGGTCATTTTGAAAAACTAAAGGTTCTAGGTCTTAGATGCTTGAATGGATTGACTACACTAGAAATAGAGAAAGGAGCATTGCCTTCTCTTCAAGGTTTAGCAATTGGGGGTAGCCCACAATTGAAGGAGGTGCCCTCCGGCATTGTTTGGATGGACAATCTCAAGTCTCTTGAGTTTTGGGATATGCCAACAGAATTCAAAGAAAGGATGCTACCAACAAAAGGCCAGGATCTTTGGAAAGTCGGTCACATACCAAATGTCTTTTTCGTTTACAGTAGAGGAATGATGTGTAAATCATACAAGCTTTCTGATTTGGAACTGGCAACTATGTAGAGTTCAGCTGTCTTGGAAACCAAATGTTCCGCATGTTGTAGCTTTACTTGATACAGGTACTATTCCCTCAGCATAAGTTGACATCTGATGTAGACTTCTTTGTTTAAACCTAAAACTAGCCAATTCCCCTCTTTTTTTCCCTTTTCCAAATGTAAAGTTTGAATGTAACAGGTTCGGACATTTTATGTCTTCTGATTGTTAATTTCAATTGCAATATCTTCCATCTCTTTTCCCTTTCTATATGTTGTCATGACAACTTCATTATTTTGCTCCTAAGAAGAGGAAACATCTGCACAAGTGGTATACAACTTCTACAGAGGTGATATTAATTTGGTAGTGAAGTAATGGATGAATTTGGCATAAATTAATAATGACAACAACCATCACAGTTGCGTATGGTTAACTGAAGCTTGATTTAATTATTCTGGTAGCTTTACCTTTTAACATTATGCACCCAGAGTTCAGCACAAGTTGCCAAGTTGACTTGACAATCTTCAAACCGAGTAACCCTTGTGAAACCGCATATGCAGCTGTGGGCAATCAAACAGGACATAAGCCTCACTTATTTTCCCAACTCCTTGACAGTGCACAGATACCCTGCTCGCATTAGTTTTTTTTTTACTCAACCTCTTTGATTTACATTTTACCATTTTACTTGGCAGGCTGCACTCTTCAATGTGGACAGCTCAAGGATGTACAACTGCAGGACTGCATTTTGTCGCCAAACATTCAACCTAAACAAGACAAGCTGACTTGTCTTTTTAACGTCAAATGGTTGCTGTTCCGTTCATTGGTTTTGTGTGTCACGTAATATTGTTTTAGTTTGTGGTCACTGCCATGGCTTGGTTTTGTTCACAATGAATTATTGTCTATTGTTTACTTCCCACAGCAATGTCCATTTGCTTCATCAATGGTATTTATCACTATGCAATTGTTTACTTTGGCAAGCATGCATATACATATGTATGTGTGTGTATATATATATATATATATTGGGTGCATTTGGGTCTGCTAGGTGTAGGCAGGGAAGGTTTTTAACTTGATTTTTTATTTTTCTGATAATATTCGTGTGTGTTGATGTCCATGGTTCTAGATTCTTTTTAAGTCTTTGATGCAAAGGTTTGCACATTTTACTCAATCCTGGATAGAAATCAATGACATAATTGAGACTTTCTAAGAATCTTTGTAATTGAGTTTTATCTGTTATTTTGTCAGGAAATTTATCAGCAAATAGTATTGACCTTTCTATTGGGGTTATTGTTCCCTGGGTGATATAATGACCTAAAAATCTAATCCTGGTTTGGAATAGACTGATTTTGGGTTTGGATACTACTAAACCATTTCTTTTGATTATGTTTATGAATATTTCAAGATGTTTAAAGTGTTTCTCTATGTTTTTTAAGAATACCAAAACATCATCTATATAAACTATTGTAAATTGAGAATAATGGTTGAATATTTCATTCATTATTTTTTGAAATTCTGAGGGTGCATTTTTAAGACCAAAGACCAAATGGGACTGTAAATGCAGTTTTGTACCTTTCATGTTCTTTGATCTGTATTTGTCAAAATCCAGATTTCATGTCGAATTTTGAAAAGATTTTTGCATTACAAAGTTTTTGTAATAAATCTTTCTTAATTGGAATTGGATATCTGATCCATTCTAATGCTTTGTTTAAAGGTTTATAATTTATAACTAGTCTGGGTGTTCCTCTTTCCATCTTTGCATTTTTAATGACATGGAAGGCTGAACAACTCTATGGGAATGAACTTTTTCTTATTAATTTTTTATTTAGTAGATCTTGAATTTCCTTTTTGCAGAATTCTTCCATTTCTTGATTCATTTGTATTACTCTGGCCTTTGTTGGAATGTTATTTTCATTAAAATCTTTTGTATAAGGCAAATCTACTTGATGTTTCTTTCTTTCCCAGAATGCATTCGGGATGTCAGAGTAGATTGTTTTTTCTATTTCTTCTTTAATTTTGTTAATCTTTCGTATGTTTTCTTGTTGTTATAATTGTTGATTTATTTTTTCAAAAGAAAATTCTTCCTTTAGATAACTAATTTGATTTTTTCTATAATTTATCAAAGAATTTACCTGTTGTTCATGTATTGAAAGTTTCTTTAATAAATTAAGGTTTCTAATTCTTGGTTTTTCTACAAAAGGAAACTTAATTTTGGTTTTCAATATTTTTGTACTGATATCCTGATGTTTGACTTTGTAAGGTTTTAACATAGACATAAATGGTGTTCCTAAAATGATATCTTGGGTTATGTCATTGACTACTAAGAATGATGTTAAGAATTTTATGCCTTGGTTGATTATTTCTGCATTTGATAATTTATATGTTATTTTTAATTTTCCACCATTTGCTGTTTTTAAACCTTCTGAGGTTCTGTCATAATATTTTGTAGGAATTAATCCTTCTTTTATACAGTTTTGATCAACACTTGTGTCAAAGAGTGCAATTGTATTTATTTTATATTCTTTAGAAGAAAGAGGATAGTTTTTCGGATAAGAATTTCTTCCAAAAGATCATATCTCTCTCTGGAAAAACTCTTGTATCCAAAATAAATAATTTTCAAATTATAAATCAAATTTTCAAATTGTATTTTCAAAAGTCCATACTCTAATAAAGATTATATCTTCATATTTGTGCATTCATCCTCCTCCCCGGAGTCGATTCCTAGTGCAATTTGGATATATATATACATATATATATATATGCTACTGATATTTTAGTCTTGATTTTCCAAATTTATATAAATGCATCACTAACGCCTTATTCTCGACTGTAATCAATAGAAAAAAAATAGAAAAAAGCCTGATACTTTTGTTACTATTTTTGAATCATTTAAATCAACTAAAAATTTAATTATCAATTACACATAATAAGAGTCTCATAGATTTTTCAGATTGTTTTCTTACCTCCCATTAGTTTAAAGCTCCCATTTCTAGTCATTTGGAAAAATGTAAGGAATGAGCAACCATTGCTTAGCAAGTATAGCCACAAACACTTTATTGGATTAAGTATCATTTCCAATATATCATATAGTTCATTTAAGAACATTTCAATAAATCATGTTGTCAAAATAGTCAAAAATTCATTTTATCCAAAATGAATAATTTTATAAGTTTAGAAATCATTTAATTCAAGCAAATCAATGATTCATTTTTTAAAAATAATAAATTTCATCATCTTTAATTATGGTCATTACTATAACTCGTGACAAGTGTTGTATCGACAACATCATTTACGTTATTATTAATAATTAGTATAAACTATTAATAAAGTCATATACTAACCACTATAACCCATTTGTAAGGTGGTATGTTAACAATGTACTACAACTTGTTAATAACCCATTAAATAAATTTATGATATACCATAAAGTTAATAGTAATTGTTCTTTCACATATTCAAATTTGTTGTTATTAGTATATTTTAATACATGTACACATTTCATATTAACATGTCATATTATTTAAATTTTAAAATTCAGTGTCTGTCTTAAAAATTCAATAATTTTCAATTCAGTATGCTTCACAAATGGTACAATCAAGGAGCCTTGAGTCTAAAGGTATGAAGTGAGAGACATTGAGGCATATTGTTGATGCCCGGTGGATTTCTTAGCTAGTATTCAGAAATCATTAAAAGGACCACATATGAGTGTTATTTTCTTGTTACACAACCGTATTGCAATCCATTTTCATAAAATCATTAATACTCGTAACCATGGAATCGTCTTGTGTTAATAAAGGGTATAAGAACTACCATAATTCAGTACAGAATGATCTTATTGAACAAGATCACATTTAGAGATGTCGTTTCTACGAATTAAATTATTTTTCAAAATTATAGTCACATCAAAATTAAAAAAGGCACTTTTTTTTTACCCTAAAAACTAAACTATTTTTGAAAATAAGCAACGAGATAATTTTAATTGTTTTTAACCATCGCAGTAGATTTTGAGACAAAAATGCCCTTAGTGAAACATTCGTTGAGGCACACCATCAAACACGGGAAAAATCAAGAAATAAATAGGTAAATATGCAAATAATTTACGAACTTCTAATTTTCTGCAAAACATCCATTTTTTTTTTAGCTAAGCTTGTGCGAGGGCCAAAATAATGTTGCATCAGAAGGTTTTTCAGATATTTCGGACATGGCATTCAGAACCGGTCCCAATGAATCGAAAGCTCCGAGGATGATGTGCAACCAGAAATCCGTGATACGGTGGTGAATTGGAAGGAGAAAGTTGTGAATCCAAAGCACGAAATCGTCGTGCTACAGCAGGGCATATGTGAGATAGCTGTGGCATGACAGGGTTTAGAGTTTGTGACACGACTCGTAAGGAATATGTGAGTTGACATTGTGATAATATGTGACACAGTAGAGAATGTGGCATGAAACAGGGCTGTGACACGGTAGGCTTCAGAGATTGGTGACACACTATGGAGGGAATCTGTGACACTCTAGAGTTCAGAGTTTGTGATACTCTAGAGTTCGGTGTTTGTGACACGGCATGAAGAGAATCTGTGACACGTCAAAGTTCAGAGTTTGACACGACATGGATAGAATCTGTGACACGATAGTATTCAAAGTTTGTGACATGCCATGGAGGGAATCTGTGACACGGTAGGGTTCAGGGATTGTGACACGCCATGGAGGGAATCTATGACATGCTAGTGTTCAGAGTTAGTGACACAGCATGGAGGGAATCTGTGACACGCTAGAGTTCAGAGTTTGACACGGCATGGAGGAAATCTGTGACAGGCAGGGTTTATGGTTTGTGACACGCCATGTAGGGAATCTATGACACACCCGTGTTCAGAGTTGGTGACACAAACTTAGGAATCTGTGACACACCAGAGTTCAGAGTTTGACACGGCATGGATGAAATTTGTGACACGATAGTATTCAGAGTTTGTGACATGCCATGGAGGAAATCTGTGACACGACTGGGTTCAGGGTTTGTGACACACCATGGAGGGAATCTGTGAGATGCTAGTGTTCAGAGTTGGTGACACTGCAACGAAAGATGTTTGTGACACGGCAACATTCAGGGTTGTGACACGCCACTAAGAGAATCTGTGACACACCATGTGTGTGTCAGATGGCATGGCTTGTCATTGCGTGACAAGACATGTTTGAAAGCTAAAGAAAAAAAAAGAGGCAAAAAAATGATGAAACTGATTCGACTTCCATTGAATGAATATTATAAGGCCATCTCATTTTAAATTAATTATTTTTTAGAAATCGCAAATGTCTGTGTGAAGGGTTCTCAGAGAGTTTGATTCATTGTTCATTACCAAAGGTACTAGAGAGTCGAACTTCCTTCTTTGCAAGCTTAACAAGACGAAAGCAACAATGTCGGTTATTAATGAAGAGGTCAATCAGTCTGAAATTAGAACTATCTTTTGTTCTTTACTTTTTTGCTGGGTTTGTTTGATATGTTCGTGTTATTGCCTTTTGGAATGGTTATGTTAGATTAGTTTAAGAGGAAATTATGTTTAGGGTAGTTTAAGGTGATTTTTGAAATGTTATTGCCTTAGTTAAACTGTTTTCTTCCCAGTTTTATGGTCTTATGGTCGTACCAAATCACGACATTTGAATTGTTATGCATGGCCTGTCACGACATTTGACTTGTTATGCATGGTGTGTCACAACCTTTTTACTTGTTATGCATGGTGTGTCACCACCTTTTACCTATTATGCATGGCGTGTCACCATCTTTGTCTTATTATGCATGGTGTGTCACCACCTTTGTCTTGTTATGCATGGTGTGTCACCACCTTTTACTTGTTATGCATGGCATGTCACGACTTTTTACTTCTTATGCATGGCGTGTCACAACCTTTTTACTTGTTATGCATGGCATGCCACCACCTTTTACTTGTTATAGATGGCGTGTCACTAC